GCTCCCCAGTGGGGCGTTTTTGTGGGAGCACTGCACCGGGACTGTCCCTCCTCCCGACAGCACCCTGCACGGCTCACACCCCGCTGTAACCCCTCCTTCCTGGGTGGGTGATTCTGGAGGCCTACCTGTAGGAATCCCTTGTTAACTGCAAATGAGAAAGCCAACTTTGTCCCAGCAGGGGGTGGACAGTAGGTCCCTCGCCACCCCCTTCCACCCCATCAGGCAGCAGGTACAGGCTGAGCTGCAAGGAGCACCAGCAAGGCAGGTCCTGCCCTCCTGACTCTCCAGGAGCGACTGGCAGGCACCCCAGTGGGGAGGGGAACAGGCAAGAGCTGAGACGAGAGCCTGAACTGCCGATGATGACGGGCTGGGGCTCGGTACTGAGCTCAAGCCGAGTGTGTGAGGCCCCAGCGTGGGGCTGTGCGCACGGGCTGGGAAATGCTGCGGCCAGGGGTGATCTTCTGTTGTACCGCAGGCCTACGTGCCAGGTCACCCAGGAGCCAGTGGGGACCTTGAAGGTGCACACTGATCCACACACCCCAGAACACCGGAGGAGGCCAGAGCGCATCCACGACCGAGGTCTTTTGTGCGAGATCAGAGCCTCCGTGGGGCAGGGTTGAGTGAGGGTGGGACCGAGGCGAGAGCTGGCCGTGCCCTAAGCCGGCGCCCCCGGCCCCCCCAGTGTAGCAGCGATCACATTCACACTCGAGGTGTTTTGTATTTTTTAATAAAGTCTGTAATCCAATGGACACACAAAACAAAACTGCGCTGAGAAAACAGTTTCATAAATTAATAAGTGTTAGGAAGTGGGAGAGAGGTCTGGGTCACAGGACGGAGGCTGTACAGGTGCTGCGTGACACCTCCACGGCGCGGGAGCAGCGCCCGTGCTGACGTGAAGTGCACTTATACAAATGAGTGACGATACAAAGTCTGAGTATGAAAATAAGATTTTCTCTGAAAACACATTTTTGGCACAGATTAAAAAAAATGTATGTCGGGGAAATTTGATTTTTAAGTCAGTATTATATATATTTATATATATTATATATTTATATATACACACATCCCAAGTTCTGCATATCCCACCAAGAAAGGAAATCCTGTGTTCGCTCCTGTCCCACTGTAAACTGTACATCCCGGTGAGTCAAAGGTGGTGGCAGCAGGAGTTAAAGATGACCTCCAATGAGCAAAGAAGAGACGGTAGGGCAAAAAAACCCAACGAAATGTTCCTTGACCCCAAGGTTTCGGCAGAAGTTCCGCGTCCTGCATTAGCGTCTGTGACGTGTTCACACACACCAAGACGTCTGCCGGAGTGTCACAGCCTGTCCTCACTGTGCAAAAGTCCAAGTCACTAATTTAGTGCAAAGGCAGTCCTGTTTTGTTTCTAAAAAACAAAAAATTCCACTGCCCTATTCCTTTTCTCGAAAAAAAAAAAAAAAAAGAAAAAAAGAAAAAGAGAGAAACCCAGCCCCACGGTGCCTGCGAGTCCCTCGGCCTCAGTTGGTGGCATGTCCTGGGCGACAGCGTCGTGTAAACATACAAGGCGGCAGCACCACCGCCCAGGGAGGTCTGCTCCGGGGAGCGGGGTGGTCTAGGAGGTCAGCGTCCGGCAGGGGGGCCGTCCCCTCTGCAGCTGCGCCTCTGCCCGACTGGGTGGTCTGCTGTTCAAGTTTCGCAGCAGAACCTCAGGGAAGTTACCCTGAGGCGGTGATCGTCCAGCAGCTCACACAGAGGCGATGACAATCATGAGGTGGGGAGAGATGTTGGAGACACTGGCAAGGAGGTCGGGGGCCAGGCGGGACAGGTGACTCTCGGAGAACTCGCAAGGTGGGAAGATCTGCAGCACATAGGCGGGCTGGAGACGGGGCAGAGAGAGGTGGAACATTCCGTCTCCAGCTCGCTCTCCCCAGCACCCTTCCCAAGGGCCCTGAACAGGCCGCGAGCGGGCAGCCAGCCTAGGTCGCATCCC